GCCCATACTGATCAACTGCCCGACTAAACTATCGGCCGACGAAAAATCAACGGTGTGCGCCTACTCTAAAGCCCAAACAAACTCAATTGCTCTCAGCTTCGATAATACCCTAAACAATTGCCAGTCAGCACCTGGCACTCCTGGCTGCAGCGTCAATTCGTCCCATTCATTAAAGTGCAGCGAACAATAATTACTGCGATCGCTGATCGGCTTGGCTGGATTGCCATCGGCCAGGACTAATGGTTGGAGTTGTCGACTCGAGCTGTAGATAGTGATGGGACAAGGAAACATAGACAGATTTATCGATGAGATAAGAAATATTGTTGGGAAGTACCTGCAGCGCAGGACCGGTCGTAATAAAAATCCTTTGGGGAGGTATATGCCTAGCAGTGGACGTCATTTGGCTGAAGTGAACGAAACAAATAAGCGACTTGCTAAATGTGTCGTACTTAAGACAGATGCACCGAAGCTTAGACAGTAGATAGGTAAGCAATGGTTACTTATTCAGAGGAATACTGAACTATGCTCTAATGGGTACTTACCTATATCAGCAACACGTCTCGTAATGTATCGCCATTCGAAAAGTGTTTGTTACAAAATAATAGATTAAAATTGATGTGATTGTGGAAATTCTAACAAAGTCACTACAATTGAGATAATTTAACAGTTATTGAGTTAGCTGGTCTTCTACATCAATTGCTAATTTTGTGAAAAATATGTCTCTTCTGACCTATCCATGGACAATGATACAAATCCAAGTATAAATCTATTAAAATCACCAATAAATCGCATACTATCGGTTTAAATCAGAAACGAAACCGTATTTACACGGACCATCCCCTAAATTCAAACATCTTCCTCTAAAGTGCAATAAAGCACGCCTATCTGAAAACCTAAGGCAAGAGTAATGTTTGGGATGAACGCGAAATTTTCCATTAAATTTCTTTCACATATCGACTTTTTGACAATCGATATTTACGGCTTCCACGTCCACGGCACTAGTCCGGTGTAAAATGCTGGATCTACGCTAAAAATGGCGGGTGGAAAATGCGGATAAATACCGGGTATTCCCGGCATTCCCCGGGTAAAAAGTTAAGTGCTAGGCTTCAGATCCTGCGCGAAGAGGAAAGTGAAAAACTAGTGAAGTATGAAAAACAACTATTGTAAAAGGGCCTTCTTTTAAACTCTTAAAAGAAGGCCCTTTTACAATAGTTGCTTGCGACTTGCGACTAAATAAGTACTCACTTATTTAGTCGCAAGTGTGTGTAAAAACGGCCTTTATTATTTTGTGTGCTTTCGAAAGGACTATTTTTATCGCTGAATATAAGTCCGCTGGCAGTATAAATGCGAATGTTTGGATGTCTGGATGTTTGTTACTCTTTTACGCAAAAACTACTTTGAAACTTTACAGTATTATTATTTATAACCCAAAATAACATATAGGCTATAATTTATGACGATCTGTGACAAACGAAATTTTACGCGGGTGAAGCTATAACACTCAACACATATTTATTCATATAATTCCTCAAGGAACACCAAAAATTTTAATACCATTTATAGTATTAAATGAAACAATTAGAAATATTATTCGACCCGGAACTTTAGCAGTAAGTACGACTTAACTCATCGTGCTATTTTTTTTAAAAGCAGCTATTTTGTAAAATTCCTAACTAGATTTTACAAAAATACTGCTATCGTTTTCATCAGTAATAAACATTTGCCATATTTTAATTTCATTAATTAAATTAATCACTTACCATCAGGTGATCCGTCTGCTCGTTTGCCTCCTATCACATAAAAAAAAATTAACCAAAAAAAATATAACATTTTATATCGATTCGAGCAAACGTTTGTATATCGAATCGATATCAAAACCACTGCAAAAAGACAGCGACAAAATCGTCTAAATTGAACCGTTTCCATTATTTATTTTATTTCTCAGTCTTGTGCGGTGTTCAATACAGATATCTATCTATCTACCGTCTAGAACCGACCGATATGTAAATCGTATATGGTATATGAGGGATTAATGCCGTTTGTCCTATAAACATGGATTTTATTGCAGCTGGATTCATATTTTTTGCATGGACCGAGGATTTAGCGTTGTTCAGAGGATTACAGAATTTTTGCTGTTGCATTTTTTAAGTTTTACTCCATAGTTTACAGTTATGATCAACGTTATGGCTTCACTACTTTTTAAAGGCAGGGCGAGTGGTTAGAGTGTTGGTAGAAGTTTTGGGTTAGATTCCCGGTTGTGGAACATAAATTTAAAAACACTGTGTGAGGCGATTGCGGTCAAATACCTGCCATGTCTAGCATAAAAAAAAGGCTGACAATGCAACATTGACAGAATTGAAGCCATCATAGCCGAACGGTGAAGCGGTCGGACTAGCCGACTCGAAATCCAACGTACGCGGGTTCGAGTCCCTTTGACAATAACATTAATGTACTTTCCCACAAACGCTTCATACAAACTTCGTGTTATGACATCACCCAGTGGTATAGTCTGGTCCGTGAGCGAGCACGTATAATTTTGTCCAATGACCCCAAGCTACCCATCCTTATCGCGCTCGCACACTCACTGCGGGTACCAGTCGCACAGTCGCGACAGCAATATAATTACGCGCGAGCGATAAGGATAGGTAGCTAGGGGTCATTGGACAAAATTCTACGTTCTTCTCACGGACCGGGCTTTACTTTTTATGCATCGCTTATGGAATTTTTTCAGCAGATACCTATCTACTTATTGTGTTTTTCAAAATGGTTCCCAAGGCTGATTGTACTATACAGGGTGTTAGGTAAATGGGTATATGAGCTGACACTAGCCCATGTGGATATAAATGGTATGGTAAAGTCAGAAAATTGATATCATCATTTTAATTATTTTAATTTTCATACAAATCTGATTTTATAAATTTTATTTTGTGGGCTAGTGTCGGCTCATATACCCATTTACCTAACACCCTGTTTATTGTACTATTTTTATTTAAATTGGTTTAAATACCTAGCTCGCATCAATACCTATGACTATAATTTGTTTATTTTAAAAACTGTAAACTTGAAAAGAAGGCTGACAATAGTGACTGAGGATCTTGCGCTGCTTCTCAGCACTGGCCCTTTTATGTCCCGAAGCAGTGGTAGGGTTAATACTGGGACGTGTAAAAGTGTTTTTAAAAGCCTATTTGCAAAAATAAATGAGTTTTATGAGGTTTTTTATTAAAAAATAAAACAAAATTATAGTTAAATCATCATGTTTTATTACACATTATTCAAAAATATCGGTGAAAACATTTTCATATTATAAGTAGCACAGAATAATAAGTGTAGTAGTCCTATAATTATAAAATTTAATAATACAATATGGTTATTTGATTAATAATACACAAAATATACTAGGTTCGTGAATATAATGTGAACTAAAGTACAAGTTTGTTATATTCTATCTAAAACAATTATTATCAAATCTTGCTTGATTGACTTCTGTCAGTAATTAGCACATAATACAGTTGAGCTTATAAATTAAATAAAAATAAGGCAATTTAGCTAATAAATGTTTTTACATCATGTACCTATATTTGACAAATATTAACATAATACAGGGAATAAAACGTTTCACAAAAGTTACATTGGGTATACCTATTCTTAAACATAAATTTACATCACTTCTGAAAATAGTTCTATTTCAAAACCTCCATCATCTTCAACGCACATGACATAGTCACCTCTGTTAACCTCCAGTGGTTGGTCCTTGTAGAAAACAGAACTATGCACGAAACTGGACTTTCGTTTGGTAGATATTCCTGCAGCACCATCCATTACTTTGATCACATAGCAGCATAGCATCCATTGCATGCCCTGTCTCTCTCGACGTGTACTGAAACTACACATGGTATCATACTGTGACAGCTGTCAATTAAGTGTACTGAACGAGACATGTTTTTGTGTTCCAACCGCGTCGGGTCAACGTGGGCTATCTGCGATTCTGTGAATGTGTTGGTCCTCGATCCTGGAGGCATAGCAGTCATAGCTTTCTCGCTTAATTTATTGTGTTTATCCAACATTTCACTGCTGATGAGTTGGACCTTCATAGACACATTAGGCATAAATAATCCCCCTTTTTGTAATCGCGCATGCTTCAGTAGTTTAGCCAGGCTATAAAGTGATATGTCGATGTTACCACTCATATCTAATACGTCACAATAAACTGCGTGGAATCTTTTGCCGTCAAACGGCTCAAGAGACAAATTTTCGTAAAGCAATATTTCCACTCTGGACAGGCAAATATTATGCCTACGGAAAACCTTTTTAAAAAACTTTTTATCTTGACGATCACGGGCCATACAAATGAGAGATTGCGCTCCTTGCTTCATCATCATCATCCCGAAGACAGGAAACGGACACAAATCTACAACGTCAACTTCTTCTATCTCCACCATTTGTGTTAAATGAACTGTTGCTATTTGTGCACTTTTAATAATCTCATTAATATAGACGTCATCGTTCAGGAACGTTGTTAATTGCTTTGACACTCTCGTTATTAGTTTTCTACAATCTGTCAGAAATCTTAGTCTCCCGCCAAATGTTGAGAACTGAGCAATGAAAGATTCACCTTCTGTGTATTGCATTGGTATAAAATCATGAGACACAGCTTGTTTAAACGCATCTGATCTATCTTCTGATCTAGGATCGGTTGTCATAACGATGTCCTCAGTTATAAAAAGTTTGAAAAATCCTACCAGTGCATTAACTTCACCGCTACTTGTAACGGTCAATTTTGCATTGTCTGGAAGAATTCTGGCTATTTTTTGTTAATATCGGCATTATTTCAAAGACTAACTCTTCTTGCGTCACGAACTCTAAGTCTTTGTATGTGAAGATGTCTTCACGGTTATGTGTTTCTGTGTGTAAAAACAAGTCTTGAACACTAAGGAGTGTTTTAGCATCCGAAGAAATTTGGTATTTTTTTGGGATCTGCTCACAGCGGACGCCAATAACATAAAATTCAGCCCGGTTAGGAATGACCCGCGATGAAGGTGTAAGAATCTTCTTCCAAGCCGATAGGATGGTAAATAATAGCTCACTACCTAAAAGGCCGGCGTCAAATCTATTTGTTATCACAAGCAGGTTGCTTCTGTAGGAGCCAACTTCAATATCTTCAATATCTTCAATATCTTCTATCTTGGTTCCTTTTTCGATTAAAAAGGTCTTGTTTCGGGTCTTGAATATTAAAATTACATTTTTCACTATCAAACTCGTTTTCCAATAGTGCTTTAAAAGCCGGAGATTCTTCGAATGAATGTTGTATCGATTGTTCTGCTGATTCTTTACTTTCAATTTCTTCTTCTTTCCTCAGGATAGAGGTTTGAATTATACCTCGTAAATATTTACCAAGTCTTTGATCGTCATTCAGCAATCTGTATTCGTCGCGAGAGTACAGCAACCTCTTTGTTAAATTCAGGTATTTTTGTGCCTTTACTAGGTTTTTGTCGATTTGAACCGCCTTTTCAAAATGAAGGTGGGCAATATGAAACTCTTGCTGGCGTAGAAAATATTCACCAGCACTATATAGGAAATGAATATTACCTGGAAATTCTTCTAAGGCGACCTTATAATTCCTGATTATTTGTGCGTTGTCATTTTGTTCTGCCAACATGTCGTTGTATTGGTCCAAGGTCGCCCGAAATTGCATTTCCATATCCTCTTTTAGGTGAGGAGGGTAGTCTCGGATGGATGTCAAATAGAGCTCAAACGCTTCTCGGTGAAAATCTAATTCCGCCGAAAGCTGCGCTTCTCCAGGGTTGTAGATTGGGTCCGGTACTGGGTCGTCCATTCTGTTTTATCTTCTTGTCTCACTAAGTTCACTTGCCGATTGCTTGAATTAACACCTACTTATCACTTGAAGTGTTCACAAAGTTCACTTGTATGATTTGTAGATAGCACTATATCACTTTCTTTAGAGATGGCTTGAATTTACACCCACTTGTCGAAGTTTACTAATTGTTCATAAAGTTCGCTTATATGATTTTTCTAAAACACAGCATATTATCAAAATTTTAGAGATGACTTGAATTAACACCAACATGTCACTTGAAGTATAAGTACTTTGAAGTTTCAATTAGTCATCAGTTCTTGAGATCCAAGTTAACTTGGATCTCAAGAACTGATGACCGATTAGACTTGTGTCCAAAGGCAGACTGACTTCACACCCAGCTAGCTCGTACCCCGTTTGGGCACTCGTAATACAAAACGGTACATTACGAATCAAACAATATCTTTTAATGAGTCCAGGTAGTTTTACGGACAAAGGGTTTGTGATAAGTAAAATGTACTGTAATGACAATTAAAGCTAAACTATTGTCATCTAGTATTGAATAGCATGTTTAGCAACCTTATCATAAAAATGTTTCTTATCTATAAGATGGGCATGGCGTGGTATTTTGTAAACAATGAAAGCTCTATTGTTTAAGTTCAAAGCCACGTTCTGTGTGGTATTTTGAACTTTAACTTTTGCACACTTTGCAAACAAGTTTTTAATTTAAAATGCGTTTCCATGTATGCTGTTACAAAGTATTTAGAGTGAATCTCGAACGAATGATTATACTTATTGCATACCTAATAATATCATCTGCTTATTTAATTAAACTTAAATGCCTTATAATTCATAAAATATTGGGCGAGTTCAATGCCTTATGGCGACACGACAAGAAGAACACAAGTTTATTTAGCTAATATTATGTTAAAAGAAAAAAATACTTGCATTGCTTCTTGTCAGTACTATACATTAGGTATGATTTATGCTGGATCATGTACCTTACTTATATTGGGACGTGTATAAGTGCCCTTTAAAAGTCAACTACTGAAATCAAATTAATTTTATGAATTGTTTACCTTCATAGCATAAAATATGCTTACATAATACTTATAGGCAATACTACGCACTAGTTTTAGTAGCAAAGCCTCGAGTCGATAAGATGTTGAACTGTAATATTTTATTCACTAAATATGTATACAGATCTACACGCAGGCCGTGTCTAGCACACCGTTTAAGGATTGTGCACATAAGTATGTATAAGATAGGTGATGGTAATTTCGACTCTAAAAATATTTTTTTAACTCTTAATAGCACCTAGTCCTAAGAAAAAATATGTTTGTAAAACCCCTCTGATTGTACTTGTGTCTGTCTTATTGGTTGTCCTAAATAAATAAATGAATAAAAATCATTATTTAAAAGACTAATTTCTTGTCTATTGATTAATTTAAAAGATATGAAAGTTGCTAAGATGGATGTTTTGTTATTTGTTAAGTACTTCTAGACAGATTTTGATGAATCCTAAGGTATAGGTTGCTTTTAAATGAAAATGTACATGCACACGAAATCTCAAGCAATAGCTTTATTCTAGTCATAGCTAGCACTGGATTACATTCCTCATGTAAAGGGACTGAAAACGAATTCACGACTGAAATCCGCAAGCTCTCGGTTCAGATTCCTTTTCAGCTGCTTTTTGTAAAGTAGAGATTTGCGATTAATATTTTAACGTTATGGACTTTCCAATCGCTTGTACAAAAAACCTGACTGAGTAAACTGAAATTATTAACTGAAAAGTAATTTTAAACTTACCCCTAATTGACTTCTAGCATAGTTCTAAATACCCGTAGGTATTCACAAACATTACTATGAATTCTTACAGTGCGCATGAACGCACAGGGTCCCAAAAACCTATTCATAGACAATACTTGAGTGGCAGAGTGACATACACGAACCAATAACAGAGCTCTATTCGAATTCGCATAGCATCATTGCTTCACATAAACAAGCATCGTTTGTGAATACGAGTGTAAGTCATGTTACTAACCGAATACATTGTATAAAAAATAAAAATATTATTAAAGAGCCTAAATCAGCGGTTCCCAAACTTATTTAGTCTACCGCCCACTTATAGAATAAATTATTTTTTAGCGCCCCCCTTTTTTGTAATCAAGAGTCGAGCTCAGTCGGTGTCTAAGAGTCCTCCTAGTAGATGACGCCTCCCAAGCCTCTACACAATGTCCCGATTTTGTTTTCTGGGTCTCTTACCGCCCCCCTTTAAGTCTGCAGCGCCCACAAGGGGGCGTTATCGCCCACTTTGGGAAAGACTGGCCTAAATCAAAGTTATATTCCGTTAGAATCTACCTTTATCAGTCCCAATTCTAACACACCTACCTACAACCATGGTGTACCAACCTAGTGACAAATCCTCTCTAGCTGTACCGTGACGTCATAATAACCAGGGATGACAATAACTATGAAGCGATATCGTTGGACAGATTGCCAAGAGCTCTCGCGAGCCGTCACGCCGACTGTCAGTAATATGATCGGGCAGGACCGGATTAAGGGGAGGGGTTGAAAAATATTAATTATTATTGAAAATATTACTTTTTATAACACACTAGTGACTCGTCCCGGTTGCGCATGAGTGCATTGGAATATTTACCTACTTTAATCCATCTTCTTAAAGTATTGCAACATAACATTTAACACCATTGCGTAATTTTAAAGAGTTAAGCAAACAGACAGCGGGAGCGACTTTGTTTTAAACTATGTAAAGATGAATTTTAGAACAATTTTATAAAAAGAGAAAAACCTATTGTCTGCTTAGAGTGTGCGACCTGGAGCCTAAACTAAGACTATCTTGTTTTTCAGGCCCATGATAGGTTTGCGTAGAAATGACCAAGTCCAACTAAAATCGGACACACATCATTGTTCTTTCCCATGTGCTAAATTGAACTTCATAAAATTACTATTGGATTTTTTTATTTTGCTTTGTTGTAATATTGATAGAGCGGTAAATACATTCTGTAAACATTTATATTGTTGTTTACGGTTCATGAGATACAGCTCGGTAATAGATAGATTGATAAAAAATGTGTGAATGAAAAAAAAACTTTAGATAATAATAAAAAACAGACGCTTCAGTTATTATTTTATTCGTATGAAATATCTAGCACAAAGGGGTTTTTTGCGTAAAACAACAATTAAATAATCCTCCATCCCGTCCTTAGCACGGTAATACTATCTATACAGTATTCCAACTCGGCCATATTTTTGAAATAAATGTCAACAGCCCCGCGGTACGTCACGGTATGACAACATGCGATAGGGCTGCTCACCTACAGAACCCATTCTAATTACATCTGTCTACTTAGAATTTCTATCTAGTATTGTGATTGTAAGTTTTTTTTATTTAGACAAACAAAATACCTACTTTTTGAATGGAATAGGATAAAAATGCGTGTTGTTTTGTGATTAGTAGATTTAATTTAAAAAAATATACTAAAATAATTTTGAATCTACTAATCATAATGACCTGTTGCTTTAATTTCAGGCGGGTGAAGTCGTGGGCCAAAGCTGGTTTTAAATACAATATAATTTTCATTTCAAATCAAACTTACTGAAAATGACCATTTCTGACAGTTAATGACTAGGTAATTTTTGACAAATTTGACCGTTTAAGACGGTAAGTCAAATTCAACCAACTTAGTCATTTTCAACACTATAGTCCGATTTTTAATTCGACGGAATTTTGACAGCTGTCATTTTTTGACAATTCAGATGTAATAAGCCTTTTTTGCTTTGAATTATTAATAAATAATATGAAATGAAATTTCATCAAGTACAACTTACAAGAATGAACTATTGTTTGTTTTGTGAATTCAATGTACCCTAATTATTATGTACATTTTAAAGATTAAATAGAAAAAAACGTGTTATTAACACGGTAAAACAACATTGTATAAACGAAAATATGTATTGATCATCAATCATCATTATCGTCATCATAATCAACTTGGATTATAAAATTGGCATCTTGTTAAATTGATTATTTTATGAAGCTAAGATTTTATTAACAAAAGGATTTTCATAAAAAAGGTTTGTAACCCATGGATTATTGGCCAGGGAGTCCAGTAATAGAAAAATAATTTCCCAATTTTTTTTGTAACTTCAAAAGTATGATAATAAAAATTCAAATAACCATTTTGAAATGATCGGTACATTTTTAAGTCTTAGTATTTCAAGTGAAACCTTAAATTCAAGAAAGGATTATTTTTTAATTTATGAAAATGCTCTCCATTCTTAGTGGGAATGTTTCAATGTTGACAACACTTCTGAAATGTCAAAATTCCGTCGAATTAAAAATCAGAGTTTAGGCCATCGACGTCCGTTCGGCACATTCGCGACACCCCTAACTTTTACTTTCGACCGCGTACCGAGATTTGAAATTCGAAGGAATGCTCGCGTTTCGTCGGTTTATATGAAGTTACAATACTGTATGATATTATTACCGTGTCCTTAGTACGTACCCGGTCGCAATATGAAATCAATTGCGACCTCTACCGTAATGCCCACATAACTATTAATCAGAGCAAGCCAAATTGCACTTTATGTCACGAACATAAAGCGATGATTAATTTATATTGCTTGTTTGCGGACAGTCGGCGTGCGAGGTGGATTTTATTGTACAATCGACCGCAGATCCGACTACATTTTTGGTGCAAAATAGATCTTATGGCAATGAACTAAGATGCAAGTGTTTATGTGATGTGCCGTCGTCTGTACTCGTTTGTGAAGTGGTTTCCACATCTGGTGGGCATACAATACTTCTGTTTATGATGGAACAGTGGCTGTTTTATTATTAAATAATATTTGGGATAGTACAAGTGAAAACATCTACACTAGAACAGGGGAGGGCGATTATGGCACGCGTACCATCTATGGAGCTCTATAAAATATTTCAGGCGAATATTATTGCAAGTTATTAATCGTACTGCAACAGTTAGGCTGGGTTGCATCGTCTTACTTTAACTTTAACAAACGTCAAAAATCTGTCAAACTCCATACAAAAAACAACGGTTATCGTTATAGTTACCGATCGTTATAGGCCGAGTTAGGTGGTGCAACTCAGCCTTACAGTTCTAAAGTTACTTTAGAGGTCTTTCTAAAAATTAATTTGAATTTGAAACACAAAGATGACGTAGTGAAAAACTGATTTCTAACGTTTGCGTTTTTTCGTAAGTTTTGTGCTTTAGTCAAAATCATTTGACAATTCGTCTACAGCTTC